TTCTCTCTCACTCATTGCATTTGTGCGGTCTCTCCCCCATGTGGATTCCCTGATGTGACACATGGCCAGAAAGGGTTAAGCAGCTCACAGGCTAAGTGACCCAGATTCAACCTTTAGAGACATGTTAGAAAAGTATGTAAATGGTAATTCGGGCCGTTCCATGTTAGATAGGCTAGAACGTTGAAATGCAAACCTGTATTGTTAGAGAATTAGAGGTAATACCAATTGTATGTGTTTACATCTATATTGTTAGATGTTAACCATGTAAAAAGACAATTCCTGTCTATTACTATAGCTATTGATTCAGAGATCAAAAGGGACTGTTCACATTTAGATGAAATGTGTGTGTGATAATGTCATTGTCTATATGTTTCTTTAAAGTTTGTGATGAACTGCTTAATGGATAAATTACATTATGTTAATCCATGTAGTTAATTACCGGTAATGTTTGGGAAACCGAAAGTTACATCAAAGGCCTATTGTTCATTCAAGAACTCAGTGCTGTCCAGGAATTGTATAAAGAATTCTTCGGACCTGATCCTTTCATCTCAAATTTGCTTCTGCTTTATCCAGGGAAGTATTGAGCTGCAAGATTGAGATCTCCAGTCCCATCTGGAATACCCTGGTATGGAACATTGGACTCAAACGATGGACTAATTCTAAGAACTCTTTGCAACTCCAAAGCTCACCATCTCTACTATGCTGCTGTTTCTCTCCCTCCCTGGGGCCACCTCTGGCTGCAACTCTCTGCGTCTCCCCTGTGCCTCGTGCCCCCACTCACTGCCCAGCCAGGGAGATCCCCTGGGGCTGCAGATGGGAACTCACCATGCTCACACATGGGACAGAGACAGGCTCAGGACCCAAATGTCCTGGGCTGGAACGGGAAGGCCCTTAGCCCAGCCCTACAGGACTTGCAGAGTTTGGAGACCGGGAACACGCTGGGTCCATGTCTGATCCCCAGAGCCCAGTGCTCCGCTCTGTCCAGCACCATCCCCAGGCTGCACCTCCACATGGAGCCTGCCCCAGGCCAGCCTGTGCCACACAGAGAGCCAGGTGCAGACAGAGGCAGCAGCTCCAGCCACTGTGGATGTGCACCCAGGCTGTGGTGCACCACTCCTAGCCCCAGGCTGCGCCACATGGGGATGGGGCACTTGGGATGAATGGGAGGAGGACCCCCATAGTGCCTTCACTTATCCCTCCACCCACCCTGCTTCCCATATCTCCCACAGCCCCCATCCTCTTCTGCTCCCAGTGCCCCCAATCCCACTATGCATGGTGACTCCCTGTGCCATCTCTAACTCCCCTGCCCCTCACAGTACCCCATGGTGTCTCCCCAGCTCCATATGGCTGGAAATTTTCCAATTTCAATCCCCATGAGGACTGGAAACTAGAGCTGTCCCACAAAAGTTTGAGCTTTCAGAAATTTTCTCTGTCCCAAATCGGGATAAAAAGTCCAAATCTTGAACACATTCACAAATCGATATCTCAACATTGGTTTGGACCTAGTCAATCAAAATGTTTCATTTCAATGGTTTTAAAATCTTTTGTATAGATTTGGACTTTTGAGTATAAATTAACTAAAATTTGGAAATGAAAATTCATTTCGGATCACAAAATGAAACTTTTCATTTCAAAAATGCAGACGATTCCAAATCTTTTATTCAATTTTTTTTTCAAATTGGGAGATTTTTTTCGAATTGGGAGGAGCAGTATTGACAAATTGGCATTTTCCAGCAAAGAAGAGTTTAAATGGAAAATTCCCAACCAGCTCTACCAGAAACTGACTTTTTTTTCTCTAAATGCCAGTTGACCCTAAGAAAGATAAGGGTGTGTGTGTAATGTGGGGATGGATATATATATCTAGAGAAAGGGGGATCGATGGATTGACGGACAGACAGATTTCTCCTATCATTGTGCTCCCCCACCAGCACAACCTATTCTGTCTTTCCGATATATTTTGTACCCTGGTATTACTGTATCCCATAGATTATCCTCATTCCACCAAGTTTCTGTGATGCCTATTATATCAATATCCTCATTTAATACAAGGCACTCTAGTTGCCCATCTTATTATTTAGACTTCTAGCATTGGTATATAAGCACTTAAACTTGTCACTTTTTAGTTGTCTGCCATTACATGATGTAATTGAATGGGACTTTCTTTTCTTTTGACTGTTTCACATCAGATCTTACCTGTATTCTATCATCTTCCATCCTCTCCTCCTTATTAGGACACAGGGAATCTCCATTTATAGATCCTCCTCCAAGGGATGTCCAAACCACATGCTCCTCTGCACCTGTCGGCTTTCCCCCAGCCCTTAGTTTAAAAACTGCTCTACGACCTTTTTAATTTTAAGTGCCAGCAATCTGGTTCCATTTGGTTTACGTGGAGCCCACTCTTCCTGTATAGGCTCCCCCTTCCCCAAAAGTTTCCCCAGTTCCTAATAAATCTAAAACCCTCCTCCCTACACTATCGTCTCATCCATGCATTGAGACCCTGAAGTTCTACCTGTCTAACTGTCCCTATGTGTGGAACTGGAAGCATTTCAGAGAATGCTACCAAGGAGGTCCTGCACTTCAATCTCTTACCTAGCTGCCTAAATTTGGCCTCCAGGACCTCTCTCCTATCCTTCCCTATATCATTGGTACTACAATAACCACAACCACCGGCTCCTTGAGATCCGCAACCTTCGCACCAGGCAGGCAAGTCACCATGCGGCATAGGCACCAACTTCCCCTCTTTCCCATGGGTGCTTGACCCCCACTCTGCCCCCCACTCCACCCCTTTCATGAGGCCCTGCCCTTTCCAACCCCTTCCCCAAAGTCCCTTCCCCAACTCTGCCCCCTCCCTGCAAATATTCCAACTCCTTCCCCAAATTCCCATCCCAGCCCTGCCTCCTCCCCTGAGCACGCCACGTTCCTGCTCCTCTGGGAGCTTGCAAATGCTGCCAAACAGCTGTTTGGCGGCGGCCAGACGGGAAACCCTGGGAGGTAAGCAGAGGAGTGGGGAAGCGCTTGGGGGGGGGGGAAAGCTGGGGGGGAGCTTGGCTGACGGTGGGTGCAGAGCACCCACTAATTTTTCCCAGTGGGTGCTCCAGCCCCGGAGCATCCACGGAGTCAGTGCCTATGCCATGCGGTTTTCCCTGTCATCGCCAACCCAGCAATCTATGTTTTTAATGATCGACTCACCCATTACTAATACCTGTCTCTTCCAAATAACTTGAGTTCCCTCCCCCAGAGAGGTATCCTCAGTGCAAGAGGATACCACATCAACATCTGGAAGGAGGTGCTGTTCTCCTTCCCTGAGGCTTTCATCCTCCTCAATAGCACAGAGGCTGTCAGACTGGGGAGTGGGACCATTCTACTGTGTCCCGGAAAATCTCATCTATGTACTTCTCTGTCTCCCTTAGCTCCTCCAGTTCAGTCACCCTGGTCTCCAGAGCCCGTACACAGTCTCTGAGGGCCAGGAGCTCCTTGCACCAAATGCACACATATGCCACCTGCCCAAGGGCAGGTAATCATACATACTGCATTGGGTGCAATAAACTGGGAAGCCCCCACTCTGTTGCTGGACTTCTGCCTGCATTCTTTTTACTCCTGAAGCTGGGTGGAGCAGGGGTGCTGGAACTAGGGGTACAGCAGCACCCTCTGGTTTGAAGCAAATAATAGCAACCCAGTGCTTTACGGGTTTCAGCGCCCTCACTGCAAAAACTGTTCCCATGCCCCTGGGGGTGAAGTAGGGGGAGCAGCGGCTGCTGTGCAGGTTGGGATGAGTAGGAGGTCCACAGCAAGATGGGGAGCAACCTGCAGGATATGGGGAGCTAAGTGCACAGTTGGAGGTGGGGGAGCAGGGGACAGCATGCAGAGTGCGGGTCAGCAGGGGACTGGGAAAGCAGGGGGCACCATGCAGAGCAGGGGGAGCTCAGGGGGCACTGGGCAGGGAGAGCAGGGGGCACTGTGGGGGGCTACGGAGAGCAAGAGGCACCATGCAGAATGGGGGAGCTGAGGGGCACCTTGGAGAGCAGGGGGCACTGTGCAGAGTGGGGGGGAAGCTCAGGGGGCACCCTGCACCCACAGCCCCCCCGCTCCCGATGGCTGCCTGCTGGGGTCCGGCCGGGCGGCAGGTGACACCCGCCCCAGCTGCAGCAGAGCGGGGCAGCCTGGCTCGGATGGCGGGGTCAGCCCCAGCTCCCTGCGGCAGGCACTGGCCGCGCTCCCCGCCAGTCAGCTCATGGGCAGGCTCAGCCCCGCCCCCTCCCCTTGCAGGAGCAGAGGGGGAGGGGCAGTTGCAGTGCCAGCCTCGTGCCGCCCACCCCTCTCTGCAGCCCCACCCCCTGGGCAGTGCTCACAGCCGCCGGGGGGCGACGGCTCTGGGGCTAGCGGAGCCCTGGGGGATCCTTGACCATGGAGGGGCCCAGGAGCCCAGGCTGGAGGGCGTCACTGTGGGCAGCCACACCCACCTGCACTGGAGCTGGGTGCCTGGCCAGCAGCCGCTGCTCTCCACTCAGCCTTCAGAGCTGGGCAGTGAATGACCGATGCTAAGCGGTGGCTATGTGGGGGGGCTAACCACAAATGTTGGGGTGGCTATAGTCCCTGCAAGCCCCCCCCCCCCCATGCTGCCCCTGGGGAGGGGGTGTCCTCCTTGCGCACAAAGAGCACAGACAATTTGGATTCACTCCGGTGTGGTTTCTTCTCGCCCGATGTCCTCACCCATGTACTGCTTTCCCGCAGGGACTTGGGGAGTGCGTGGGAATTGCAGGTGTTCTTGTAATGAGGAAACCCAGCCCCTAGTTCCTGCAGGAAAGCACCACGTGGTGGGGGTATCGCAGCCTGGGAAGGGAAGGAGCCCACAGGTCTCTGCAGACTTGGAGCGGGGAATCAGTGGTCCAGACTTACCCTACATCCAGGTCTATGCTAAAAACTTAAGTTGACCTATATTAGGTTACAGCTCCCAGCTCCCAACCACAGTGCATCACAACAGTTGGAACAAGAAAAAAAAAAAGAATTAAAACAAGAAGTTTAATTCATAGCCTGTGTAAATCAGAGACCCAGGCACCAATACAAACACGTCTCCCCTTAGCTCTACACGGGGCTCTTGGCCAGATCTCATTACTGGCTTCCCTTGGTGTTGCCCCTAGGTTACTAGTTTAATCACAATCACTTCGGCTGTAACCTCTAGGATTCTGTGTTTGTACAGCGCTTGGCCCAAAGGGGTCCTGACCCATAACTAGAGCACTCAGGGGTTACTGTGGTATGAACAACAAATCCTAGTGTGTGGCAGGGAACACACCCAGTCAGGCATCTCTTGCTCTCTCTCCTCAGTGGATGGCTAATAAGAGATCCTCTCCGGGCACAGCTTTCCCCCTGTCCAGAACATAACAAAGTTGCTCTCGTTGGCAGGTGATCATAAGCGCTTCTACCGCTCCCCCGGTACAGTATCTGACTGCGTGCATGCTGGACATTACAGTACGCCCTTGCCCCCGCTGTTGTTTTGTGACCTGGCTGCTTTCCTCTGAGACAGGCTGGTGCCAGGGGAATGACTTCATATTTTTTAAGGCCATTAGCCCATCCAGTCTGACCTCCTGTGTAACACAGGCCAGAAAATTCAACCCACTTACCCTTGTATTGAACCCAATGACTTGTGTGTGGCTAAAGCATCCTCCAGCCAGGATTGGAAGACATCAGGAGCTGGAGAATCCACCACTTCCCTTGGGAATTTGTTCCAGTTGTTAATCACCCTCACTGCGCCACTGTAATGCGTCTGGTGAAGACGCACTATGCCGCTGGAAGAGCGCTCTCCCATCAGCTTAATTACTCCACCTTAACGAGAGGCGGAAGCTATGGCATAGGGAGAGCGTCTCACGCAACATAGCATGATGTAGACACTGCTTTAAGTTGATCTAACTTACGTCGCTCGGGGGGTGGCTTTTTCAAACCCCTGAGCAACGTAAGTTACATTGACTTAAAGGGTAGTGCAGACAAGCCCTCTGTATACACATCATTTTCACCCGCAGCCCTTACTGACGGCAACCCAATGGTCCTGGAAGTCAGTGGACATTTCAGTAGTTGCAATCTTATCACCAGTCCTGATATGTGGAGGTTTACTTTAATCCTCAGCTGCCAGAGTCCTATGATTACAAGCAAATTTCAATGTATTTATTTAAAAAAAGGGAGTTTTCTAGCTCTCACGCTTGGAAAGAAGGGTTGGAATCTGTGGCTCCTAACATCTCAAAACTCAGAAAGCGAGTACAAAAGAAATCTAACAGCTCTGCACTAGCTCACCCACAAGATAAGGGCTGGATACAGTCAGGGCACCGGTAGGGCCACTCCACATGTGCAGGGCCTGGTGCTTGATCAGACTGTAACCCCGGCTGAACTGCAGCCCGCAGGCCCTGCATTGGAATGGTTTCTCCCCAGAACGGTTCCTCCGACGCATCTGCAGGGCCGAGGTGGTGAGGAAGCTTTTACCGCATTTGGGGCAGGGGTGGCACTGGTCCCACATGCTCACCAGCTGTGGGGAGGGGACATGGGGCAGTGCCACCCTCTCGGGAGCTTCCTACTGCCACCACCTCAGCTCCTTGCCACCTCTCGTGGCCCTGACGTTGGCTGGAACACAGGAAAGCCAGTCGTGAGGGGTTGTCTAACTCGGCCCCGTCCTGGGAACCTTCCACCATTATATTGGCCATCTTTGTAGTCTTGCCCGTGGCAAGGCATTCTGGGAAGCTTCATCCACCATGACAGCCATCTAAACAGCCTTGTCTGTGACAAAGCATGCTGGGAGAGGGGGCTGGGGGAATATAGTATGAAAAGCAATCCCCTTTCGGATGCCTAAGAAGACGACTGAACTGAAGTGCCCAGGGTGGAAGTCATAGTTTTGGAGTGAAATCCAACCATTTTACACCCAGCTGTCAGAGCAGGGGCAGGACTCCACAGGCAAGGGAAGCACAACTGGGACTTTCTCAGTGGGCCAGAGAAACCCACTCCTGTCCCTTATTTGACCTTCCATTCTACTTGGGTCAATCACACATAAACCCCTGATTCCTCTGGACTCAGCCAAACAGCCTGGATTGCCCTAAACCAATGGAAAAAAACACAGAATGGGGCATTCGGAAATTACAGCTGCTAGACCAATATAGTTGATGTCATTCCAACCCCTCCCCCACTCCCATTCCTGTGGTGGTATTTGTAGACTGCGGTTCTTAGGGCAGCGCTTTGCCTTCTGGTCCAGGATCTGTGCAATGTCTGGAGTGACAGGCCCCTGCAATGACACCGCATGCAACATAGAACAATAATAAGCATATTAGCTCCAGCACAAGTTACTTCCTTTTAATGCATCTAGTGAGTCAGGGCAGCGACTCTCTCTCGGAGGCTCAGTTCCCCACCTAGAAAACAACGACAATAATCCTTCCTTTTGTATTGTCTATTTAGAGAGTAAACTCTCTGTGGCAGGGACTGTCTCTCACTTTGTGTCTGGGCAGTGCACTGGGGCCCTGATCTCAGGCACCGTATGTCTGTGCACCATCCGGGCACAAAGGGGCCCTGATCTCAGTTAACCATCCTATAATAATTGGAAGGGGACGTGGCACGCCATTTTCATGGTGGATAGAGAATGAGCTGTTATTAGACACAGCTCAGGAATCTCCATCGCGTAGCTGTTTCCTGGCTTTGTGCTCAGACAGTCCCCGACGCTCTCCAAACTGTGTCGAAAAATTTGCCTGCAAATGTTGAGGCGCTCCCAACCGTGGAGCCAAAGATGTTATATTATAATTAGAGCTGAGTGAATAACTGATTGTGTAGTTCATAGGCTCAACCAAAAAATCCCCCCCCCCACACACACAAAAAATGTGTTTAGTTTTGAACCAAAACTGTTTTTTTTTTCTTCAAATTCTTTGGTCAAACCGGAGAACTTGAAACCTTTTGGTTGGCTTAAAATTGATTTTTTTCAAAATGGTTTTGTTTCAATTCAGTTGTTTCGGGGTGTTTTTCACCCTTTTATTATTATTTGTTAATTGGACAAACTTCAGAAAAATAGAAACGAAACATTTCAAAATGGTCACCTCAAAACCTTGAGACCCTTTTTTTTTTTAAAAGCATTTTCCATGTTATTTTTCCAGCTGAAATTACTAATTGAATTCAACCCTGGAGAGCCTGAGATCAGGGTGTGCACAGGGAAGCCACGTTCCCAGGGAGGCTGTGGGTGTGCAGTGGGCAGGGGAGTACATCCTTTCTCCCCTACCCCGACGGCAGCCTGGCCACGGGCTGGTACCAGAGCCCCTCCCCAAGAACAAGGACAGGCAGACATGGCAACACCCAGGGAGGCCCCAGGAAGGGGGATCTGCACCAGGCAGGTCCATTCCTGGATCTCCTTTTAGATGGGAAATGACAGCCTCTCTGTGGCGGGCACTGCGCACTGGGCACCAGGGAATCGAAGAATGTGCCCATTCAGCCCGGCCTCCTGCCTATCCCAGCCAGAGAATCTCCCCCAGCAATTCCTGCCTCCGGCCCAGTAACTCCTCACTGAGCTGGAGCAGAGCTTTGAGACAGAAATGCCCCATCTCCAGTGACAGAGTCCCAGTGAGGGAGAATCCATCCTGTCCTTAGGGGAGCTCTCCCACTGGTTCATTCCACACCCAGATAAACACTGGCCCCCAATTCCCAGCCAGAATTCATCTCCCTTCTGCTCCCTTTCAGACCCTGCCTTTGTCTGGATGTTAAAGATCCCTCTCCTCCCAGCAGTCCCCTCCCCGTGTTGGTGCTTACAGGCCGGGATCACATCACCGCTTATCTTCTCTGGGACAAACTAAAACAACCAGAGCTCCTTCAGATTCTCCCTGGGCTGCTGGCTTCCCAGGGCCGAATCCCAGGCACCAGGAGCTGGCCCAGACCTTCCCCCGAGACGCACAGCCCCTTACCCAGCGACTGGAGGATCCAATAGTTCTCCAACATGACGTCCCTGTACAGCTCACTCTGCTCCTCGTCCAGCAGCTCCCACTCCGCCTCCGTGAAGGTCACAGCCACATCCTCAAACCGCACCGGCCCCTGCAGCCCCCAGAACTCCTCTCTCAGTGCTGGCTGCTCCAGGGACCCTCGCCCCATCTTCATCACGGGCGGGGGAGAGGAGTTGAGCTCAGGCTGCAGCGCTGGAAATGCTGACGGAAGGGAACAAAGGTGGGTACAGCTCAGCTGGAGGCTGACGAGGGCGAGCGACGGCCCCGACGCCCAGAACTCCACTGTGCGGCAAGGGCAGAATTCGGGGTGGCTGGGGACAAGGAGGGGCTGTGAGAGGATGCGGCCACATAGGGGTAGTTGGGAGGGAAGGCAGGGGAGATGCAGCCTGGGCTAACGGGGCAGGTACTGGGATGGGACTCAGGACACCTGGGTTCAATTCCTGGCTCCACCACCACTGAGCTGCTGTGTGACCCTGGGTACGTCACTGTGCCTCTGTTTCCTCTCCCAACTTTTTTCTGTTTAGACATGAGACTTTCAGGGCAGGGACTGTGTCTATGCAGTGCCTGGCATGACGGGGCCCCAATCTCAGTCGCTCTGTGTCTGTGCCCAGCACGACGGGGCCCCGGGCCTGGTTGCTATGTGTCCGTGCAATGCCCAGCATGACAAGGTCCCAATCTCGGTCACTGTGTGTCTGTGCCATGCCCAGCATGACAAGGCTCCAATCCTGTTGGGGGTGCTGCTGTAACTCAGACAAGGGGGCGACTCCCTGCTCGGGGTGGGGCATGGGGCTGGTCAGTCACATCCCCTCCCTGCACTGACACCAGCAGACCAGTGAATCGTCCACAATGTGGCCACAGCATTGTGACCTGCCCGAACCAGCCTGTGGCCTCCATATGCCCAGCTCTGGTCACTCTCCTCCCCGTCCCTTGTCAGCGCCCCCATTCTGCCCCATACCCAGCTGGGGCACCTCTCTGGGGACATGTGGTGCATTGTTCTGGGGTCCTGGAGATTCACCCTCTCCTGCCTCCTGGGATACACACTCAGGATGGGGCTGCAGCCACTTCTGCTGGAAGCCAGGATATTCCCATAATGCCCCAGGGGATGCCATCTTCTCAGAGTTCTCTTCCTTGACGTTCACACCCACCATGACCTGAGAAAGAACCAAACACGTCAATATGGAGCCGGGGCTTGGGACCCTCTAGGAAGAGTCGGGTCTGAGAGGGGAGATGGCAGGGAATGCCCCACCGAGATATGGAGGAGACACAGACCCCAGAGCCAGCAGGGGGCACTGCAGGGGCTCCTGGGAGAGAGGCCAATAGTCCTGGCTTGAGCCAGTCTGCGTCTGTCAAAGCTTCCCCCAGACACAGCTCTGCCAATGCCTCTCATTCCCGATCTGCAGCTGCCCTGCCATCCCAGCCCTGGACACAAGTGGATTGAGCTAACTCCGGAATAAGCGTGTCCACATGTAGACTTAATCAATAGTTAATCTATTTTATGTTCACCCCCTCCTCAACCCGCCCCCCACATACACCACCTTATTCTGGATTACTTACATGTCTAGGCAAACCCTAAGCTCTCACTCAATGGCATTTTTTGCAGTAAATCATTTTTGTGGCCTTCTCTGCACCCTCTCCAATTTTTTCAACACGCTTTTTAAAACGCTGACACCAGAACTGGCTGCAACATCCCAGTGTCAGTCTCACCAATGCCATATACACAGGTGAAACCACTTCCCTGCTCCTACTTGCTCCTCTCCTGTTTATACATCCACGGGTCGCATTAGCCCTTTTAGCCACAGCATCACACTGGGAGCTCACGTTGAGTTGCTTGTTCACTGACCCATAAATCCTTTTCAAAGTCACTGTTTTCCAGGAGACAGCTCTTCATTCTGGGCAAGGCCCGCCTTCCTTGCTCCTAGATGTATAACTTTGTATTTGGCTCTATTGAAATCCAGATCGTTCTGTAGAACTGTTCTGTCCTCCTCATTATTTATCACTCGCCTGTCTTTGAGTCGCCAGCACATTTTATCAGCAGTGATTCTGTATTTACTTCCGGATTGTTAATGAAATAAAAGTGCTGGACCAATCCCTGCAGAACCCCACACGGAACATTGTCATTCAATGAGGATTCACCATTAATGACTGAGATCTATCAGTATGCCAGTTTTTAATCCACTTAGTGGGTAATTTACGGATATGGTATAGGCTGAATTGTAAATCAGAATGTTGGACATTACGAAATCAAATACCTTACCGACATCTACATCTATTACATCTACACAGTTACCTTTTTCGACCAAACTTGTAATCTCATCAAAGAATGAAATCAGATTTGTTTGACAAGACCCATTTTCCACCAAAAACCTAATGACTAGCCTTAGCTATAATCCCATCCTTTAATTCTTTATCGGACATTATTTTCCATTCCATTATTCTGCCTAGGATTGATGTCAGGGTAACCCAGGTTGTCCAATTTGCCCTTTTTAAATATTGGCACAACATTAGCTCTCTTCCGGTCTTCTGGATTTTCCCCAGTATTCCAAGATTTATTAAAAATGAACAACAGCAGGCCACAGATCTCCTCACCACCTGTTTCAGGACTTTTGAGTACAATTTATCTGGGCCTGCTGATTTTTAAAAGTTATTCTTAGTATTTTTTTTTTAAACGTCCTCCTTGGTTACAAAGTCTAGAAAGTATTTCATCATTCTCATACAATCAGGGTTGCCAACTTTCCAATGGCTAAAAACTGGACACCCCTGCCCCACCCGATGCTCCACCTCTTCCATGAGGCTCCGCCTCTATCCTGCCTCTTCCCCCTTGCTCTTTTACCCCCTCCCACCCTCCATCACTCACTCTGCCACTCCACCCCCCATCACTCGCTTCCCCCCCCCCCCCCGTTCCCCGGGACTCACCTGCCACCCGCAGAGCTGGGCTGGGAGCAGCTCACATGAAGCCTGCCTGTCTGCCCAATCAGGGGACAGCGGTTGGGATCTGGCTCGGAAAAAAACATCATAGTTAGCACGCTCAGAGCCTTTTAACACTCCCCTTTCCCATTCTCTCTCTTTCAGTGTACAACTGTACTGAGCTTTTCCTGATTTCAGTAAAGCCACCTCTACACTACCACGTATGTCAGCAAAACTTATGTTGCTCAAGAGTGTGAAAAAAAAATACACCCCCCCGAGTGACATAAGTTTCGCTGGCATAAGTGGTAAAGTGCTCTATGTTGGCGGGATAGCTCTCTCCCCTCAGCATAGAGCGGCTACACAAGAGATCTTACATCGGTACAGCTGTGCCACTGTGATGTCTCTAGTGGAGACGTGGCCTTAATCTACTCATTGACTTATAATTAAATTAGAGTTTGGTAACATAGTACACAGGAAAATGATGGTGAGATTTTATTCTTTGATCTGATCTGTGCAATAGTATTTGCATAAACCCAAAGTAGATGTTTAATTTAAATGTTTCCAGGCATAACAAAAAACACTATACCGTTATCAATTCTGTTCTATTGAAACCTAATCACTTATCAAGTCTAAAGGACCTACGCAAAACCTTTCAAACCTCACTGCCTAAAATTAGGCACCTCAATTGGACACTTTCATAAAGCTAAGTAGGTTTTCAGTGGTGCTGAGAACCCACAAAACCAGGTTGCTTTTTTGTGTGTCCTTTAATATACAGTTAGGTGCCAAGTTGTAAATGTTTGGAGGTCACCAGATGCTGTATAATCATTTCATACAAACTTTATATCTTTATCCTTCATGAGAAGTTAAAAAACAAAAACAGTGCAAGCAACTCCCCAGTACAGCCACAAAGAACTTTCATGAGAATAGCAATTGAAAAACGACTTAAATTTATACTTCTGATATGTTCTTGCTGCTGTCACAAGCTCCTTAGCCGCCCCCGTCTTCAAAAATCCAGCAAACTCGGCACATGTCATTTGATAGTTGAAGTGCACGAACAGCTCAGCTTTTGCCATGTCCACTTGGAGCCGATTCCTTTCATCAGTCCGCAAGTTCTTCATAACACTGAAAATGCGTTCCACAAATGTATTGCTGGGTGGTATAGCAAGCACATGCTGCACAATTTTAAGTAAGTTCGGGGCCTCGCAGCGCTTAAAGAATTCTACCCACACCTCAGAGACATTGTGGTGCTCTTGTTGCTGCCGACGCAGTGTCGATTCAGCATCATTTGTCGAACTCTTTAGGGTCAGTAGCACATCATTCAGCATACACATTTCTGTAAATAGTTCATCTCCGTCCACTTGAATGTCGAAGTTTGTAGTCAAAGCACACAGTTCATCTAGGTCGAGAGGTCTGTCCAGACTGAGTGGTGCACACAACTTAGAGAATGAGTTTTCACTGAAATCAAACCACTTTTCCAGGTACTGTACCATGCGTGTGTAAGCCCATTGGGCATCTCCAACAAACGTATTCTGCTGGTTAGGTGGTAGTTTCTTCAAGAACTGTGTCACCCTGTACCCATAGAATCCTTTCTCTTGTCGATTCTGAATCTCTCTCCTCAGCTCGTTGAACGTAGTATACAGTTCAGTTGCCTGAACGTAATCACTCTCAAGAACCTTTATGGTGTTGTTCAGTTGGCTCATAATGTTGTGCACAAAATAGATGTACAGCTCAGGAAGCGTAAGAGTTTCATCGTCGGACACTGCATGCTCTCGCTCAGAAAGGAAGGCCCATATTGCACAGCACACATTTTCCTCTCCTTTGCTCACAAAGTAAGATTTGAGTGCTGGCCAACTCTTCAGTAACCTGTCTACAGCCGTGAAAAGGGTCAGAAAACCGTGTAGATATGTGGGGTAAGATTTCTGAATATTCTCTCTCCATGAAGTCAAAGAACTCTTTAAGTTCACTAACAGTCTTTTCACTAGACGAGAATTCACTGAAAACGTTGATGACCAAGTGCTCTACATCATAAGAAAGCATTTTCAAGCCATGTTTCGCTGTATTGTGTACTATGTGAGCGCTGCAATGGCCCGGCACAAGGTTTGGTAAATCCAACATTTGTTTTAGGTGCACAAAAACAGACTTGTGTTTTCCAAAATTAACAGATGCATGGTCTGCTCCATACGCCACGATTTTATTATGTATCAGACCAGCATTTTGAAGACAACTTTTTAAGTTGTTTGCGATTGCCTCTGATGTTTCGTCGGCATCCTCGAAAAAGTCTATGATACACGTGCGGCTTCCCTTATCTTTAGTAAAGTAGCGGACGGCAACTGGGAATAATTTTGTGCTCCCTTTATTAGAAGCATCCATTGCTATTGAGAACGGTGTTGATCCAATGTCTTGCACGACCATTTTCAATGAATGGGGGGCTAACACATTCTCAATCAAAGCCTCCGCTTTTGTCCTTCCACAGTGAATTTTGGAAGCTATCTTGGAATCAGTGAAAATGGAGCGGTACAACGTACTTCCACAATCTTGAGAATGGTAGCTGTGCTGATGTTTAACTCCATGATATGTTAAAAGCAATTCAGCTGTGCACATGTGTTGTTCTTCAGAGGTATCAGCCTTTACGAAGAACTGATCAATAGTACTAGACCGTACCTGTGCTCGTACTTTGATTTTGTGACCCGGTGTCTCCGCATGATGCTTGATAGCTTTTACAGAATCAAACTTAACCGTGAATTGAACACAACAAATAGAACAATATCCCGAGTCTTCACTTGCCTTCATAAGCCAATTCCGATACGCTGGGAGTTGCAACCACTTGTCTTTAAAAGAGCACAGCCTTCGAATCTTTCTCTTTTCAGGTGTTGCCATTTCACCTCGCACTAGTCTGACTGCAGCACAGTTTAGACGCCAGATAAAAGAGCATCGACTGTGGATGCTGTGACGCTAACTACGTAGCTGACCGCTGACGCCTGCTGGCTAGGCACTTAGCTCTTTAAAGGCCAGTTGCTCCCCACTGCTTGTGGTTGCGCACTAAAAAAGTTAATTCAAAGAGTCAATCAAATATGTTGTCATGACAGATATATATTCTAATTTCAAGTATTATTTGTTACAGGACACTAGAAGGAGATAGAAAATTGCAGTAACTGGACTTTTGGTGTCTGGTCAATACTTCTGACCAGAGACTGCTTAGGTCCCCTTAATACCAGACTATTATATTATATTATCCTCTATATTTTGCCATAAGCTATTTTTCAGTGAAGCTAAAGTTAACAGAGGTGTTTTGACCAGCTTCTGCAAGGACATCTCTGTCTATTTGCATCAATTCCATTAGCACCACTCTGAGAACAGCACTAACGGCGGCAGCTAGCACATCAAACCTAAGACTGCGTGCTTACAGCGTCACCATTTTTCATGTCTGGGAGAATATTATTAAGCCATGACAAAACGATGGGAAAACTATAAGATAACAATATAATTTACATTTGATACCAGCTGCTCTCAAGATTAACAAAACAAGGCACTAACATGTTGATATATTAAGTCGACTGTATTAAGATAATATATTCTGAACGGTGTTTTAACCTTTAAAACAATAAAAACCCCACCCAGAAGAGAGAATGCAAAGAATTTAGTTCATAATCCAACACCACATCCCCATCACAGAAAAATGTTTATATTTACATATCAGTTACCTGGCATTCCTTAAAGTACACAGTTCTGTCATAGAGTCAAGTCATAGAGGTTTATTCTCAGGATCATCTTCATTTTTCTGGACTACCCTGACGCTTAACACACAGCACCTGTTGTTCAAACCTTTGCTGAGTGTTGTGTCAGAGAAATCAGGCCGTGGAAGAACCATGGCACAGTGGGGTGGAGGACGGGGTCAGTCCCCAGAGCGAGGGACCAGGGTGAGGACAATCAGGGCACAGCGGGGTGTGCGGGGGGATGGGGTCGGTCCTCAGAGTGAGGGTCTGGGGCTAGGATTGGCAACTTTCTAATTGCTGAAAAGTGGACAGCCCCACCCCACTCCTTCCCAGGTCCCATTCTGCCTTTTCCCTAAGGCCCTGCTTCTTCCCCAAGCCCCCACCTTTCTCTCCCCCCCCCCACTGCTAGCTCCTCCCCCCGCCCACTCACCTGCCACCTGCAGAGCCAGGCTGGGAGGAGTGGCTAGGAAACCTGGCTGCCCAATCAGGGCACAGCGGTCGGGCTCTGGCTCAGACAAGTCAGTCCCCAGAGCAAGGAGCCGGGGAAATTGGGGAGGGGGAGTGGTCCCCAGAGCAAGGGGCTGAGGCAGTGGCAATGGCTTAGGGAGGGTGGAGGGAGAGGAGCAGACAGGATCCCCTTCAGGGCAGCCCTAGTACCCAACCTACCTCACTCTGCTGGAGGCTGGAACCACTTCTTTCCATTAGCAGCTCCTCCTGGGGGCAGCCGCTGCTGCTCTGGCCCGAGAGGCTGATTGCGGTTACACCGATAACCGGACGTTGAGGGTCCGGTCCCTTTTTCGACTGAAAACACCGCTCCGGTGCTCTCCTGCGGCCCCGGACCTGGCTCAGCTGGCAGGGGGGGGGATTTGGGGCTCCGATCCCCACCCCCGGCAGCCCCCGATTTCCTGCTTCTGCGGCTGTTTCTCCTCCTGCGCTCAGAGGGTTGCAGAGGGGGACTCGCCCCCGTGCACACAAGCCCGCTCGGGAGGGACCCAGGTGTCCGGGGGGGGCGGGAAGGGGCTGGCACAGGAAGGTCCCTCCATTTTCCGTCCCTCTGTAAACACTGCCTGCTTTCCCCAGGCACCGAAAGATTTAGGCGTCTCCGCCACGCTTTTTAACCCTTCAGCTTCCCGATTTGGGGAAAGTGCGCTCCATTGCGGGGGTTTTGCTGGAATCCCCAGCTCCTGGAGTCACGGGATCGCGGGGGACTCTCCCCTGCCACCCCCAGCAAAGCGAAAGGGCGTTTTCTAGCCCTGGTGGTTGCAGAGTAAAAGTTTGAACATGTCAGCCCCGCTGCCTGCAAATATAAGGTGACCATGTTTCCCAAAAGGAAAACAGGACACCGTGTGGGGCTAGTCCGCCCCCTCCCCCAGCACAGGGCTGGCCTGAGCCCTGCCTGCCCCTTGCCCGAACCCTGCCTCCCCCCTGCGTGCGGGTGGCATGGCCACTAGTATGGGTGGCGGGTGCAGCTTCTTCTGGGGAAAAAGAACAGGAGTATTTGTAGCACCTTAGAGACTAACAAATTTATTAGAGCATAAGCTTTCGTGGGCTACAGCCCACTTCTTCGGATGCATGTAGTGGAAAATACAGTAGGAAGATATATATATACACAGAGATCATGAAACAATGAGTGTTACCATACACACTATAAGGTGGGGGAGGCTAGCTCACTGTCCCCTGGCCTTTTTCGCCCTGGGCCGCACCCACACTCCACCGGATCCCGGTTGTGGGCTTTTGGGGGGAAGTTTTTTATTTATTATGCCCCATGCAGGTTCCGCGGCGGCTGAGGAGGCAGTATGTGCTATTCAGCTTCTGGGGTTCATCAGTAATCTGGAGTCCAGAGAGATTACTGATGGACCCAGGAAGCTGAGTAGCACATACTGCCCCCTCAGCCGCCCCGGAACCTGCATGGGGCATAATAAAGCTTTTTCCAGCAGCGGCTGGGGGTCTGGGGAGGGGAGGCGCAGGGCAGCTGTGGCTGGCCTGGGGCACCTCCAGGCTGGAGCGGGGGAGGCTCGGGGCTTCGGCTGGCTAGGGACTCCTCTGACGGAGAGGGGGGGCGCTCAGGATTCCTCTGGGCGGGGGCGGGGAGGACTCATGGCCCTGGCCACGGCGGTGGGGCAAGGGGTCTCGGGGCTTCGGCTGCAGGGGGGAGGGGCGAGCGGAAGGGGCAGAGCCATGGGCTAGCCTCCACCGAGCGCCCATGCCCACTTTTTTGACAAAAGTGGGCATTTCTCCCATTTGCTCCTGATGATCAAGTTGGCAAGAGCAAATGGGACAAACGCCCACCTTTGCCAGAGAAGTTGGGACAGCCAGGACAGGGCTTAAAAAAGGGACTGTTCCGGTCAAAAAGGGACATATGGTCACCCTATGTAAATACTCTGAAACCAGCAAATATGGCTGGGAGTGGGACACTATCCCCAGTGCCTCTGTTGTTGCCTGGAGTAGCAGCATGGTCAACTCTCTCAACACGATAGGATGTTTTCCTCAAAGTCCCAGCTCCCGGAGTCACGTGATGACAAGAGAAGCTTGCTTTTTGGAAAAATCAGCTTCTACCAGTGCTGCCTTGGGGTGGCAGGGAGGGGAAAGGGACAGTTTAGTTTGCCCCGGAGAGCCCCTATTTGAGAGGGCATCCAAACCGAGTGGCATTGCGTCCTGGCGCAGCAGGTCACAGTGCTGCCCAGGTTTTGCCCAGCTGCCCCTCATTTACGACACAGCCCCAGCCCCACAGGATGAGAGCCACCGCTGCAGGATGAGTGCAGAACAGGTGCTCCCAAGCCATCCCTCCTCCAGGGCCTCCCTTTGGAGTTTTGCCCCGTCTCCCCAAAAACCTTTGTGCGGCCCTTGTTTCTAGCTCTCCTGGTTGGGGAGAAAAGCTTGGAAACACGACCTGAGTGTGTGAGCCTAAGTGCTCAGAAACCATCGGCCACAGAAACCCCCCACCTTTCTTGTTTTGAAGATAATTGCATGATTTGGTGGGGGGTCTGAACTCCTGATTGTTCAGTGTCGGGATTGGCCAGGCCGCCAAAAGGTCCTTGAAAACTGTTCTGTCTCTGTGGACCCTCATTCCTTTCTCCTAGAATATCCAGAATGTTCTTTCCTACAGAGGACGGGATTTTCCACGCTGGGACAGACACCTGCTCTTTGCATTTGTACTGAACCTAGCCCTGAACCACACCAGTGGCCTCTAAACCTACAAATACATATTAATAATAAGACAAGGACTGCCTGGAAAAGACCAATTTTTTTCACAAGAAATTTAAAAAAAAATTGAAATTTCCAGCCATTCCCTCCCAGTTTTTCAATGCAAACCCCAAACCTTTTCATTTTTGGAAACCATATTGTGTCGTTTTTTAAATTTGAAACGGAATATCAAAAAATGTTACCCAACAGCCCGACTTATTACTGGGCACTGAAATTTTCTACCTTTAAAAAAAAATTAGAAAAAAATTACTGAAAACTGAAGAGTGTTTCCATTTCAAATAGCAATTAATTAATTAGTTTAAAAATCAGTTTTCATTACATTTTTTTATTTAAAATTCCATTTTGGGGTCTCTGGCCCCATTGATGCCAATGGAGCTATGGATGACTGACACCAGCTGGGGATTTGGCCTCATTGATTCCAAAGGAGCGATGGCCAATTCACACCCAGTCGGCATCTGGCCCACTGACATCAATGGCGCTACGGCTGCTTGACACCTGGTGGGACCTGGCCCATTGGCTCCAGTGGAACAACCGCTGATTCACACCAGCAAGGGTAGCGGTTGTGTCTAGAAATCAGCTCCATTAAGCACTAATAATCCCCGTTCAGGGACACACTCTCTGCCGTTCTTTGCGCCTCCTGCCCCATGGCCCCTCCTCCTGCACAATCTGCCCGCTCCTGGTTGCCAGTTTTGGTTGGACGTATTCCTGGAGGTTTCATCACACGACAATCTTTAATAATGCCTGGAGGCTCCGGCAGCCCTAACTGGGAACGCCCTCTGCACAGAAAGCGGCAGGAAGGACAAAGTTCATTTTGCTGACTTCACCTTGTGCTGGGAGCTTTTGCCATGAGCTTGGAGCGCTGACCTGAGCACGCGGCCCAGGCTTTCAGGGAGGTAAAGAATTCCATTTCTCCTCCTTGCCCTTCTCTTTCTGTCCACCTTATTTCTATCTTCCTCCCTTCCCAATGAGCTTAGGGTGACCAGATGGGAAGTGTGAAAAATCGGGACCGGGGTGGGGGGTGTAATAGGAGCCTATATAAGAAAAAGCCCCCAAAATCGGGACTGTCCCTATAAAATCTGGACATCTGGTCACTCTACTGCCGCTCTCTGTCCCCCGCCCCCCCACACACATTCTTTCTGTCTCCCGCCCTGGCTTGTCCCTTCTGTGCTGGTGGGACCCCCTCGCTGCCACTGTATGTGACAGGTGAGGTCCCCTGCTGGGCCCAATGCACAACAGATGTGAGCCTGTTACAACCTCAGCTCCAAACTCTGGCCCCTGTGCTCAAGCTGGGGAGGTGGGTGTTTTCAGTTTGGCACAGTCCTTCCCCCACCTCCCGTGCCAGACAAGATGGCCGCGGTCATGCTTGCTGTCCTGGCAGGTAGGGGAATGATCCTGTATCCTCTGGGGGCGCTGCCCCATCCAGCCCCATGGCTGCACGAGCTGTGTCAGAGGAAGACGGCGCTGCTGATTTGAGAAAGGCCCCCATAAATCAAAAAAAAAAAAAGTCTGTTTATTTGTCCTCTGGGGTCAGTGCCATGTAGGGTCATCCGGTTTCTGTCAGCTGTTCTCTCCGATCGAGAGCTGGAAACTCTTAAAAACGCAACCGGAGATTCCCCCATAATCCGGGGCGTGCAGGAGTCAGGGTTTGAAAAAAATCATTCGATCTCATGAGAGCTGGCGGCGCTGGGAAAGAGCAAGTGCCGTAGCTGGCCTCCGGCCCAACCCCAGCGGCCTTCAGAGCTAAAAGCGCGAGTCTGTAGCACTCCTGTCGGGAGGGGAATGATGGTCCAGTGGTTGGGTGCTGCTGGCTTCAGACCCTGCTGACTTGGTTTCAATTCCTGCTATGCTACAGGTCCCTCGGGTGACCTCAAGCAAGTCAGTGAATTGTTCTGGGGGTAATAACTGTGCCTTGCTTCACAGGGGGCTGTGAAGATCAATACAATGATGTTCTATAGATTTTAAGGCCAGAAAGGGCCATTAGATCATCTACTCTGACCTCCTGCATAACCCAGGCCAGTGAATCTCACCCAGTTACCAGTATTGAGCCCAATCACTTGGATTAGACTAAAGCATTTCAGGCTCCAGGAGATTAAATTGCTGAGTGTCCTAGGCAGAGAACAGTTGAGAACAAGGTGCCCCTGAGGGCCCTGCAATGGCAGGGAATTGATTAGGTGAAACGCCCAAGTGGTCTTGGCAGGTGATTCATGCTGCAGAGGAAGGTGAAAACCCCCCTAATCTGAGCTGGGGAACAGTCCTTCCTGCACATGCGAGCAAGACCCACCAGCCGCATTTCTAGAAAGGATTCTTCGGACAGCCTCAGAGCACTAGTCTGTCCTGTTTCCACCTGTGGACAATCCCTGATGCTAAAGAAAAAGGGGGACAGAGAGGAAATGAAGTATACATCTGGCCAAAGTGTGCATGGAGACAAATAATTCCTTCCTGACCTCCTCAGTGGCCATAACCCTGAAGCATGATATTTGATTACAGCCATTGTCTTAGTGCAGAGCTGCATGTGTTGTGAGCATGTTGAGGGCAGTGCAGGCAATCCTGTTCTCCACATGGCCCATGAAGGAAGGGGATTAGCATAGGGACTCAATGATTGTGAGGCAGCCGACACTGTGGTGATGGGGTCCATATAGCTAGAGCTAAAGTGGCTGGGCTGTAATAGACTTATGCCTTGCACTGACTGGTGGGTTACACGTGCAGGATAACTCACCTTCAGAGGAAATTTCCTCTCCTAAAGTAGAATTTAGGTCTCCATAAAGCAAGGGTGGTTGGATCCCTAAAAAAGCTCTTGGGTTTGTGTGGTGTATTGAGGACTGTTTTTGCATTGCAAGCTATCACTTTAAGAATGTTTTTTTCCTGATCCTGTTTGCAGACTAAAGGGCTCTAGAGGGGAGTGAGTGATCAGTCAGTCTGCAGCCAGCCAGCCTGCCTAGAGCAAGGTGGGTGAATTGGGCCTCACTGCCTTAGGGAGCAGCCTGCTTTGTCTCTCTCTGTTTTGGAATTCTTGAGGTGTGTTATTCTGAATTCTAGGAATTAAAGTAGCATCACGTTGCAACCTTCCAGCAAGAGAGTTTTATGTTTTTATCTCATTTCGGTGCATGTGCCATGAACATAGCACTCTGTTTTACAGGGCATTGCCATATAGCGGCATCATGGCCTCAGCAAACCCTGTGGAGAGACTGCAGGATGAGGCCGTGTGCCCCATCTGCCTGGACTGCTTCACTGAGCCGGTGAGCATTGACTGTGGGCATAACTTCTGCTGTGCCTGCATCAGCCGGTACTGTGAGACGTGGAAGGAGGAAAGCATTGGTAAACCCGTCCAGTGCCCCGTCTGCAAAAAGAAATTCAAGAAGGACAACTTCCGGTCCAACTGGCAGCTGGCCAACATGGTAGAGAACATCCTGAAGCTGAGGGCTGCGAGGGGAGAGGAGCGGGCGGGGCCGTTCTGCCAGCATCACCAAGAGCAGCTCAAGTTGTTCTGCGAGGAGGATGGGAAGGCCATCTGCGTGGTGTGCCGGGAGTCCCGAGAGCACCGGGAACACACGGTGGCACCCGTGGAGGAGGCTGCCCAAACATACAGGGTGAGAGTCCGCTGGGTGCAGGGGCTCCTGGGTGCTACTCTGCTGGGGAGCTGGGTGCTAATCACAGCCACAGGCGCAGCTGGGGTCTCCTCTCCACTGGTGCAACTTTGTTTGAAAGTTTGGGTGGGGCTACAAGTCTTTTCTTGTGTTGAGAAAACACTTTTCCCTCAGCAAGCTGGGCTGCCTGTCCATACCCGGGGCAGGCCCTCAGGATACCTGGTTCCGTTCCCAGCTCTGACACAAATAGACCAAACAACGGCTTTAGGGTTTCTTCATTGCAACCAAGGGAGCTTTTCGGGGAGAAACATGAATATTTTTCACAAAATTGTCCATTTGAAAAAAAAAAAATTTTTTTTCTTTGGGGGGGAGGGGAACTTCTAAGCAAATCTTTGGACAGGCTTTATTTACAGGGGAGCCTGTGTGTGGCTAATGGCTCACTTTTACTGGTACACAAGGACACCCCCGGTGACTGATCCCAGGCAGGAGCGGTGGAAGTGCCCTAAAAGTGAGGGGGCCCACAGGCTCCTGAACTGTGGCCCCGCCCCCATGCCGCCCATTCCCCCGCGGCCCCGCCCCACCTCTTCCTCCAAGGCTCTGCTCCTGCACCACCTCCTCCCTCAAGCCCCCACCCACCGCACACTCCTCTCTGCCCCTTCCCCATCACTCGTTCTTATGGCCAGTAAAGATTGGGGGAGCCATGGCCCCCTGGTCCCCCCAGTTCCACCACCCCTGACAGGGCTGGCTCCAGCGTAGCGGGGGGGGGAGGGGGGGAACCGCCGCTTCATTCTTTGGCAGCAATTTTGTGGCAGGTCCTTCCCTCCAAGAGGGACTGAGGGACCCGCCACCGAATTGCCGCCGAAGAGCCGGACGTGCCGCCCCTTCCCATTGGCCGCCACAGGCACCTGTTTGCTGCACTGGTGCCTGGAGCCGGCCCTGACCCCTGATCCCAGGCCTCTGGATCTTCAACCACACACCGCTCCTGTTTGAGCTTACAGACCAGGGGCCATTAGCTGAGATGCAGTAGCAGCCTTACAACCCCCTCTGCGTGGTCAGGTCACAGGTCTGGTGGAAGCCAGAAGTGGTCAGCACCTCAGTGGCAGGTGCATGGCCCTCCCGGATGCCTTCCTGACCAGCGCTGCTCTTCCCCCTCAGAGCAAAGTCCAGCAAGCCCTGACTCAACTCAGGAAGAAGATGGAAGCTGCCAAGCGGCTGGAGGCCAAGGAGAACAGGAAGATCAAGGAATGGCAGGTGAGTGTCTCCCTAGTGGGACGGTAGATCCACTCCAGTTCAACCACAACCTATTGAGGCCTCGCTCTTGGTCACCTTGTGTCAGTGCAGCGCCCAGTGCGACGGGGCCTAGCTGCTACCATGATACAAATTAATGATTAACTGGCGACTTCTTTTGTATTTAGTGATGACCCTGGCTCAGGGATCTGTGGGGACTGAACAAAGCATCTGCCTCTAAAAGATGAAGTTTATTAGCTCAATGACTGTAGATGTCCAAGTTAGCAGGTCTGCCCTCCTGCCTAACCCAGGCCAGAGAATCTCCCCCAGCAATTCCTGCCTCTGGCCCAGTAACTCCTGGCTGAGCTAGAGCGGAGCTTTGAGACAGAGATGCCCCATCTCCACGGACAGACTCTCAGGGATGGAGCAGACACTACTAGACCCCTACATGTGCTGTAGCTGCTGTGGGGGTCTGGGAGCACGTTAGCACAGATGTAGGGGGAGCACGGCTCAGGGACGCTGCTCCTCTGACCCCCTGTGCTCTCTGAGGACACCCTGCTCTGGCTGTGGGCCTCCATCTCTCTGGCGTGAAATCCTGAGATTCTGCCACTCTCAGACCGGGTCCTGCCCTGCAGTCCCCTGTGTATCATGCACATGTGGGCTGTCCCTTGGGGAGCACCCAACCCACGGTCCATACAGTAGCCAGACTTCTTATAGCAATAGCGGTGTGTCCGTAACCATCTGGACAAAGTACTTCAGAGAAAAGGACCCTGACTCATCAAAAGGTCTCCATGCACATCCGCCTTACCTGGAATCCTGCCAACTCCCAGGGGTCTAACTTTCCTCAGGCTAGTTCTCCATAGCTCTCAAAAACCTTTCCCTCTGCCTTGAGGGTGTAAGCCTCTTTGAGCCCCCCACCCCAAAGGGACCCAGCCTCCCTGGGCAAACTTGTCAGGGGCCGAGCCAGGGCATCAAAGCAAATGCATCTTTCATTGTACGTTAAGTGTTTCTGAGAAGCATATACCTGGATCCATCTGTCCCTTCTTGGGTGCCTTTCCTGCCACCCCTGCTATCAAGCTGGATAGATCTATTAAGACAGTGAACTTCCCAGTAACCGAGTCAAGATATAGTCTGTCTAGACCATTATGGACAGCTCCAAATCTGTCACATCCACTCTAGCAATTTTAACATCCTCTACTCCAGACTGTAAGTTAGGCCTGTATATATATATTTTTCCCCATGACAGATCTTTCTTCCTGATTTTTGATGGGAAATTTCAGAATGAAATGAAGATCTTCCTTACATTCTGAGCCAATGTGAAATTTCCCCTTTGGTTCAAATTCTTCAATGGGAGATTTAAAGAGCTCAATCTCTTTAGCTTCTCGAGAAGAAGAGTGAGATGTGACTCGATGGCAGTGTAGAAGTTGTGACAAAACGGGGTTTTATTCAACTTGTTATATTGCAGGCGAGTCTTACTGTCCTACACTAATACTGTGGGTACCTCAGTTTCCCAGTGTGCTGCACCGATACTTCGGTGGTGGGAACTGGGTGTGTGATTTTTGCTGAGCCCCTCAGGGCAGGTGAGGCTGCACCTATGGAACCTGAGACCTCTGTGTGTGTGTGTGTGTGTGTGTGTGTGTGTGTGTGTGTGTGTGTGTGTGAGAGAGAGAGAGAGAGAGAGAGAGAGAGAGAGAGA